TCCCGACCCCCCGAGCCCCACCGCGGCTCGGGAATGGCGCCAGGGGCAGGGTCCCCCCCCCGATGGACGCGGCGGTACCGAGGTCGGCTCTGGCGCAGGGCTCGCCGCGGGCTCCGACGTGGCACTTGTAGACGGCCCCGCGGCGGTCGCCGTCCCACGGGGCCGCCACCAGGAGCCTGCGGGGACACGGAGGGTCCCGGCACCGCCCGGCTGCGGCTGCCCGGGAGCGGCGCCAGCGCGGCCCAAGCTCCGGCCGGGAATGCCGGGATCGGCCCCGGAGCGACCCCGGGGAGCCCCAGAGCCCCATTCCTGCCCCGGGAAGCACGGAGCGCGCTTTGCCTCCATCGCCCCTTGCCCTGCTGATTTCCCCCTTTTGCGCCAAGTTTCCCTGCCTCACTTCCCTCTTTCCTGCCTCGGTTTTCCCCTCAGGACACCACCACCCCTGCCCTGCCCCACACCTCCACTCCCTGGGGACGCTTTAGCCCCCCACAATGGCCGCCCCCCCATCCCCACCCCATAACACCCATGGGTGCCCCCCGCCCCATAGCACCCATGGGTGCACTCACCACCGCTCTGTGCCATTCACCCACTGCAGCACCTTGTACCCAAACTGGGCCTGGGCCGGGCCATGGAAGAGCCGTGGGTGGCTCACGTCGATGTTGAACCCCACACACAGGCCTGGGGGGCAGGAGGGGTTTGGGGAGTCTTCAGGACCCCCATGTGGGGTCACAGCCCCGGGATTGGGGTGGGAAAGGGGGAGATCCTGGGGGGGGCATTGGAGCAGCTGCACCCCATATATTGTACCCCACATATAGCACTGGCACCCCATATATAGCACTGGCACCTCATATATAGCACCCCACATACAGCACTGTCACCCCATATACAGCACCCCACATATAGCACTGGCACCCCATATACAGCACCCCACATATAGCACTGGCACCTCATATATAGCACCCCACATACAGCACTGGCACCTCATATATAGCACCCCACATATAGCACTGGCACCCCATATACAGCACCCCACATATAGCTCTGGCACCTCATATATAGCACCCCACATATAGCACCCCATACACAGCACTGGCACCCCATATACAGCACCTAGCACCCCACATACAGCACCGCAAACACAGCACACAGCACACAGCACCCATGGGTGCCTCAGTTCCTCCTTTCCCACCTCAGTTTCCCCTTCCTGGACGTGCCCTCAGTGTCCGGCTGGTAACCCCCAACTCAACATCCCCATTTTGGCCCAGTTTTGCCCTTTCTCCCCCCCAAACCGCATCGATTTCCCCACTTCCCAGCTCCTCCAAGTGGGATCCAGCTTCTCCCCCCACATCCAGGAGGAATTTTGGGATCCCCCATCCCAAAAGATGCCCCAAATCGGGATGATTTCCCCCCCAGAACCCCTCTGAGTTGGGGCTCGCACCTTCCCGTACGAATCCCACCCCAAATCCCGTTGGATCTGGGGGCGCCGTTACCTGGGAGCAGGAGGATCCAGCAGCCGGCCCCCGCCATGGCCATGGCTCAAAGGTGACTCTGTCTCCGTCTGGGATGGGGTTTTTTTTTCCCCTCTTTTTGGAGTTTTTCCATAGTTTTTCGCCCTCCTCCTTCGCCTCCCATTGGCTGCTATAAATAACGTGCCCGAGCGGGGCTTTTTTGGGGGAGAAACGCTGGAAAAACAGGCAAAGTGGCAGAAAACCACGGAAAAACAGAGGAGGGGAAGGAAGGAGCGGGCGGGACGATGCGGGATCATCGTGTGTGTGGGGTCCTCTTATCCCAGCGGGTCCCCCCCACCCCTCAGGATGTGAACCCCATGGATGGGGCAGCGCCATCCCCAGGGACCCGGCTCCAAGGCGGGATGTTGGAATGGGGCATTGAGGGGTGCCACGTCCTCCGGGTGACACTGCCACCTCCTGGACACTGTGTTCCCATCTCCTGGACGTTGTTCCCACCTCCTGGATGCTGTCCCCAGCCTCCTGTTCATGGTCCCCATCTCCAGTTCCTGGCCCCATGATTCCCATGGGATCAGGGACTGGATGCCAGGGGGACAGTGACTGAATCCCAGGGAATGGAATCTGGAACCTCAGGGGATTAGGAAAGGGATCCAGGGAATGGGGAGAATTGGGGACAGCATCGGGGGGGGTGGAGATCCCCAGGGACTTCGGGACTGGCTCCACGGGGGGATTTGGATTGCAGGGAATCAAGGACTGCATGCCAAGGAGGATGAATCCCAGGGGAACAGGGACTGGATCCATGGGGGATTGGAGGGCAGCATCCCCAGCGAATCAAGGACTGGATCCTGGCAGTTGATGGTGGGAGTCAGGAGCATGGGGAATACAAACAACTGGGGGAATACGTGGACTAACAAGGGGGAAAATACCTGGAATAAGTGGGAGGTAACTGGGATCAAGGGGGGGAATCTTTGAAATAACAGGAGGGAATGAGAGGGTATGTGGATGGGAGGAATACAGAATAATGGGGGAAACAGGTGGAATAACGGGGGGATTTGGAATAACGAGAGGGGAATGTGGAACAAGATGGGGGGAATATGTGGAATAACGGGGAGGGAATCACTGGAATAATTAGAGGGGGGATCTGGGATAATGGGGGGAATATGGAAAACCAGGAGGAATATGTGGAATAATGGGGGGAATACGTGGAATAATTGGAAGGGGGGATCTGGAAGGGGGAGTATGGAATAACAGGGGGAATATCTGGAATAACACATGTACAGACTATTTATTAACAGCACTCTGGGGGTACCTTGGAGCATAGGAGCTTTCCGAACCCCATTCCAGGGTCAAAATCCAAAGCTCCTCATCCCATTCATGACATTTTTCCCTCTCCATTGCTGGGAATTCCCAGCCCCGTTCCTCACAGCCGGAATGCTGCTGCCTGCCCTGGACAGTGCCATAAACCCCAAGTGAAATGGATAAACCCAGTGAGGCAGCAGAACAAGCTGATGGGAACAATGGGAATCATGGCACGGAGCTGCCCTCACCTGGATTCATCCCAAGGAAAAGCCCTAGGAGAATATGTGGGAAGCAAGGTGCAGCAGGGTGAATCCATAGAGCTCCAAGGCATCCCAAATCCAGCCTGGCTCATCTGTGGCCACTCCCTTCAGCATCCAAAGGGGTGTTGGATACATCCCACCTCATCCCACCCCATGGTTTAACCCCCTCAAGCCTGGGAGAAGCACCCAGGGAGCCTTTTCCAGCTCTTTTGGCTGGATCCAGTTTGGGAGATTCCCTCTGAAGAGGAAAAAGGGAAAATCAACCCCCTAAAAGAGCCGGGGAAGTCGATGGGGAAAAGAATGACGTTTAGGTCCAATGAGTTCTCCCATTCCTTGCTGGCACCACAGGCAGTGGGAGGCACAGAATTCCCACCGCATCCCATCGGTCCAAGCCACCGCAGCCAAGGAATGACCCCGTGTATCCCGGTGGCAGAGCTCAAGGCTTCAGCTTGAGCCAGGGGTGCAGGATGGTGAGGATGGAGAGCACGGAGGAGGTGAGGCCGCAGAGCCCCACGAAGCCGGAGCTGGTCCGGTAGAGCCCCAGCTTGTCCAGGGGGATGAAGAGGTCGCAGAGGTTCCTCACCAGGTCCAGCAGCAGCGGCGGGTTCTTGCGGAGCACTCGGAGCAGGAGCCGGAGCTGGAGCTGCAGCCTCAGCCCCAGCTGCTGGAGCCGGGTGTCAGCCCGGGCCTGGAGCGCGCTGTCCCCGCCCTTGGCTCGCTTCCCGCCCGCCTCCCGCTCCAGCAGGATGCGGAGCTCGTAGGCGTCGCGGCTCAGGTTCAGCACCAGCGCGAAGAGGAAATACCTGGGGACACAGCGGGAGGGAGCTGGGGGGAAGCACCGGCGCTCGGCCCGCACGGCCCGGGGAGGGACCCCTCGGGCAGCGCCTCACCTGAAGGACCGGTGGCTCCACTTCTCCTGGTCCACGCTGGGGAGGAGCCCGCTCTTGCCGGCCCAGAGCACGTTGTCGCAGGCCAGGTACAAGGCCCTGTTGAGGTGGCCGAGGGTGACGCAGAACCGCAGCACCGTGTCCGAGAGGTGCATGGCCCGCTTGGCCGCCTCCACGGCCTCCGCGGCGCTGCCGAGGCGCAGCACTGCGGGCGGACACCGCCGGTCACTGGGGCCGCCCGCCCGCCCCAGGCCCGCTCCCCCCGCCCCGGCTGCACTCACGCTTGCGGCCCAGGCTGAGGTGTGCCTCCAGCTCCCGGACGCTCGCCAGGGCCGCAGCGCTCGCCCCATTCCTCCGCAGCGTGTCCGCGGCCAGCGCACAGGCGTACTGCGCGGCCCTGCAAGAGAGCGCGGGTCAGCGCGGCCGCACCGGCGCCGGGCGCCCCGGGGAGCCGGGAGCCGCCGCCCGCACCTGAAGAGCCGCTCCTTGGCCTGGCTCTGAGCGCTGAAGCGCACCCAGGGCTCCATGGCCGCGCCGGGCCGGGCCCGCGACGCGAAGCGGAGCCGCCTCCGGCAGCGCGGTGGAAGGCGGTGACGGGCTGAACGAGCGCTCTGATTGGCTGCGGGCGGCGGGCTCCGCCTTGCAGTGTGTATCGAAGGGTTTGATTGGCTTCTTTCTGCACCCCGCTCAGAAGGCGATCGCAATTCTCCCACCCCCATCTCCTTTCCGATTGGTTGATTTCTCTGTCATTATAATCAGCCCTGCAGCACGATTGGGCTGCTGTCTCTAAGCCTCGCCTTCTCACCCCGTCCCTCACTTGCGATTGGGGCACGTAACTCGGGTGCGCCACACGCTCTCCACAAGCGAGTTCTGATTGGGAGCTCTCCCAGCGCCCCGCCCACATTCCCGGCACTCTGCCCTGCCATTGGCCCGCTGCCTCTCTCCTCCCTCCCTCCCTCCCCCCTTCCCCGAAGCCTTCTCCGCGTTGCCATTGGTCAGCTCTCGCCTCTGTCCCGCCCCCTCCCTGAGGCGATCCGCACGCCCATTGGCCCCTCGGGCTGTGAGTGACGGCGGCTGGCGGCGGGGCTCCTTCCCTGGTTGCGATGGAGTCGGTGCGGGCGGCGCGGCTGCAGCCGGGGCTGGGCTCGCTGCGCTCCCTGCGCCCGGGGGTCACCGGGGCCCCGGCCCCGCCGCCCGGCCCAGCGGCAGCGCTGCCAGCAGCGGCTCCGGGGCTGGGGCTGGGGCTGCCGCCGCCGCCGCCCCCGCTGGGGCTGCAGGGACCCGCCGCGCCGCCGCTGCCCGGCTGCGGGCCGCCCGCTGTGCTGCGGGAGGCGGTGGAGGCCGTGGTGAGGAGCTTCGCCAAGCACACGCAGGGCTACGGCCGCGGTGAGCGGGGCTGCGGGAGCGGGGGGTGAGCCCCACGCCGGGCCTCAGGGCAGCTCCAGGGTCCCTGGCACGGGCTTTGGGCACGGGGCAGGGGGACGGGAGAAGGGAATGGGTTTAACGTGGGCTCTGGTCCCCCCGGTTGTTGTCGCTGGGTTCGGTGTCAGGAATCGGCGTTGACCGGTGCCGTTCCTGGGGGCTTTTCCCATGTGCGGTTTCGGTCGGTTCCAGTCGGATTTGTTTGCTTTTTAGTCACTTTTAATGAGCTTTATTTGTTTACGTGCCCCACAGCGACCCATGGACACCTCGTAGAGCCCCCCAGCATCTCCCATAGGGTGACCCCACCCCCATATAGGCATCCCATCATGACCTACAGTGACCCATAGACAGCCCATAGACACCCTATAGAGACCCTCCACGACCCATAGAGACCCTATTGAGATTCTCTGCGACCCACAGATACCCTATAGAGACCACCCTCTGCACCCTGCAGATACCCAGTAGTGACCCACAATGATCCATGAGCACCACGTAGCAACCCATGCTACAGACACAACATAGTGACATAGAGATCCCCATAATGACCTACAGCAACCAATAGACACCCCCTAGCGACCCATAGGTACCCTATGGAGACCCTCCACAAGCCAATAGCAACCCATAGTGACCCATGGACACCCTATAGACACCCCACAGTGACCCCGAGCCACCCAAGCTCAAGCCTTGTGCTTGGGATCTCCCACCCAGAGAGAGACCTTTATGGTTTAGGTGGTGTGAAAGGTGTAGGACACAAGGTAGGGCACAACCGGAGGTGCCCAGGAGGGTGCAGGACCTGGAGGGGGTCCCTGCCTGGTGGGATAAAGCAGAGGAGGATTCTCCCTTGTGCTGTGACCCACTGGAAAAGTGGGATAAGGTGGCGGCTGCTTGAGTTGTTTGAGCCTTTTTGGAGAGTTTAAGGAGGCTTCGTCTCACGTGGGAGCGATTTGGTCGGTCCTTGACTTCAGCTTGATGGCAGCACAAGGAAACCCCTGCTTCCTCTCAGTGATCCCGGGAAACTCCTCCTTTCCTGGGATCGCCCTCACTTCCCTGCTCCTCACCTCACCGAGGAGAATCCCTATGGCTGAGAGGAGAAGTCACCGGGAAGGGGCTGCTGATGTCTGGGAAGCATTCCACCATTCTCCGGCTCCATGGGGCTGCATCCAAGTGTTGCATCAGAGACTCTGGGATTCGTGTCCACTCCTTGTTCTTGAACAAAGACCAAAACCAAAGGTTAAAGCTCAGATTTTCCTGGTCCTGGGATGGAAGAACCCTTCTGAGCCCCCCCAAAAGGAGACGCTTTGCCACTGGTTTGAGTTCCTGACTTCCGGCAGGTCCAGCAGAGGCTGGGAGTGCTTGGCAGGAGCAGGGAATGCTGCTCATCTGGCTCCGGAGTAGCTGGGCTCCATGTGGAATCACTTATTCCTCTGTATTTAATATGCAAGGCAGATGTGCTGTGGGATCCACAGCTCTGGAGCCAGAAACAGAGCTTGGGCTGATGGGCAGAGCAGGCTCTGTGTTGTGTCAAGCAGGATGCAAAGAGAACAGTGCTGCTTCAGTCATGGAATCATGAAATACTTTGGGAAGGGATGTTAAGGCTCATCTAAAGCCATGGACAGGGACACCTTCCACTAGAGAAGGGTGCTCCAAGCCCCGTCCAACCTGGCCTTGAACACTGCCAGGGACCGGGCAAATTGTTCAGTCCTTTTCTCTTGTGTTTCGTGTTCCATATGGGATTAAAATCCTTCAGGATGCATGTGTCCTTGCTTCTTTAAGGACCAGTCTCACGAAGATGGCACCGACCAGGATTTAGGATGCTTGTTTCCAATCTTCTGCCTCTTTCCAAGGGTGAAAGTCATGGATTGAGGGCAAATTCAGCCTGAAGATCGGATTCCAGACTTGGATTGAAGCTCTCAGCCAGGGTTTAGCTGCTCAGCACCACTTGGGCAGCCTTGCATTGAGGAGAGGGCAGATGCTTCCTGCTCCTCTCGCTGCCATTTGCTCTCCAGCCCTAGAGATCCCATTATCCCAAAGGATCTGTAGAGTTTCCAGTAGGTACTTTACTTTCCTACAACATTCTTGTATCTGGAAGTGTTGAATCCAGTCAAATCCCAACCCTTTTGGCCACATCTCAGTGCTCTGCCCTATTACTCCAGTCACTAAGGAAGCACCTGCACGCCCTCTCCCCACACTGCTGAGCCCGACTGTGGGTCAGAGAATCCCACAATGGGGTGGGCTGGAAGGGACTTGCTTCCCAATATTCCACCTCAGTCTCCCCCCTAGCAGGTTAAAGCCATTCCCTTTGTCCTGTCCCTCCATCCCTTGTCCAAAGCCCCTCTCGAGGTTTCCTGTAGCCCCTATAGGAGCTGCTCTAAGGTCTCCTTTAGGAGCCTTCTCCAGGGAGCTCCACGTCCTTTTGGTGCTGTCCCCCCCGAGCTGGATCAGGGCTGTGGGGTTGGGGGGGGATCTGGTTCCCTGTGTCTGACCTCAGTTCTCTCCCCGTGCCCTCAGTGAACGTCGTGGAGGCCCTTCAGGAGTTCTGGCAGATGAAGCAGTCACGCGGCGCTGACCTGAAGAACGGAGCCCTCGTGGTGTACGAGATGGTCCCTTCCAACAGCCCCCCTTACGTCTGCTACGTCACCCTGCCTGGGGGCAGTTGCTTCGGCAGCTTCCAGGTACCTGGGGCTCAGGTGGGGCTGTCCCTGCTGCAGAGCTTGCTCTCACACTCGGGTCCCCACCACCACTGATGCTTCAGTAGCTTCCTGGGGGCAGCAGCACTGTTTTCCAGCTGGTTGGCAGCATGGGAATGCCATGGGATCTCCCTGTAACCCTCTTCTGTTTCAAGCTGCCTCCTAAATGTTCCTATAAACCCTCATCCAGCAGCAGTCGGGATGCTGCTTTTACTTCGCTGGATGTGTTCCCTGCTTGTACCTCAGCAGTGCTGGGGTGGGATCCATGCTTCTGGAGACCACCATTTGATGGCTGGTTTTCATCTTTCAGCCTCCTTCCCAGTGAGATCCATTTCCAAACTGGTAAAGCACCATTCCCATTTCACCCAGAACCACTTCCCAAAGGTGGCAAATGGCTTGAGAAGCGATTGGGTTGATAGGAGGAGCAAAGGAAAGGGTCCAGCCCAGAAGTGAAGGTCTCAAACGCACGCTGGGTCCTGACAGCGCTTCCCATTCCTGCACTCTCCTGGCTTCAGGCATTTAACTTCCATGCCCTGAAGGATGTATCCCAAAGGAACAGCTCTGGCAACCCCAGGCCCAAGGAATGGTCTTTGTGGTCCTTGGGTTTGTTGTTGTGCTCAGTGGCATTTCCTGGTGCTGAGCTCAGCCGCCTCCCTGTTCCCTGTGCTTGGCGTGCTTGGGATAACTGTGGTTTCCTAAGGATTCCAGGCTGTACGAGCATGCCACATCCCAGCAGCGCCACCCAGTTCCCACTGGGAGCAAAGGGCTCTCTCATGGGGTCTGTGTCTCCCCAGTTCTGTCCCACCAAGGCTGAAGCCCGGAGGAGCGCTGCCAAGATCGCGTTGATGAATTCCGTGTTCAATGAGCACCCTTCCCGACGGATCACGGATGAGTTCATTGAGAAGAGTGTTTCTGAGGCTCTGGCATCCTTCAATGTAAGGCTTTCCCATTGATGGGGGTGAGGGAAAACCTCAAATGACGGGAAGAGAAGGTTGCTTTTCCAGCTGGAATTCTTTATGGCAGGTTTGGGGGCTGGTTTTATAGTGAGGATTAAAACTTATCCCAGAGGGAATTCTCACTGCAGTGGCACGCAGATGGTGCCCAGAGCCATGCTGGGTTGGGAATTGCAGCTCTTGTCTGAATGTCTCCTGCAGGGCAATCGAGAGGAAGCTGATAATCCCAACACCGGGATTGGTGCCTTCCGCTTCATGCTGGAATCTAACAAGGGGAAATCGATGCTGGAGTTCCAGGTACTGCTCATAGGGGAATGCCATGGATCCGTTCCCGCTCCGTCTGGGGGTTTGGGTGCATCCCAAAGCCCCTTGTGTTGCTGCAATGGGGGTTCCTTGCCTTAGGGAAGCTTTTCCTGTAGCACTTGCCTGGCTCCTTTCCCTGGGATGGAAGCGCTCCAGAGGTAGGAGCCAGCCCTGTTTATATGGACAGGCTGTTTACAGAGGGTATTCCTCAGGCTGGGATTGGCTTTGGGAATCTTGACCCTGCATCTGGGTAACCTTGAGGGAGTCTTTGCCTTCCAGCCTCTGGAGCTGGGAACAGGCTTCGTGATCCCTGGAGCTGCAAAGGATGGGACGTGATGTTCCAGAGTCCTTCCTTTGTGCCTGGAGCTGGGAACTGGCTTGGCTGCTCCTGACACCGAGTCCTCATCCCAACACGTGCTCCTGACTCTTCCCCCTCATCCCACACTTTTTTCCTGACCCCCTCGTGCTATTGCAGGAGCTGATGACCGTGTTCCAGTTGCTGCATTGGAACGGCAGCCTCAAAGCCATGCGGGAGAGGCAGTGCTCACGGCAGGTGAGTCCTGCTATCCCGAGAAGCATTCCCAACGCCTTATCCTCTTCCCAAAGCTCCTGTAGCTCACTCAGCACCCTGTATCCCGTGCAGTGACTTCTTTTCCCTGCCATTCCCACCAGGAGGTCCTGGCTCACTATTCCCACCGTGCTCTGGATGATGACATAAGGAACCAGATGGCCATGGACTGGGTGAACCGGGAGCAGAGCAGCCCGGGGGCTCTTTCCAGGGAGCTGGCATCCACGGAGCGGGAGCTGGATGAAGCCCGCCTGGCTGGGAAGGAGCTGCGCTTCCATAAGGAGAAGAAAGACATCCTGATGCTGGCTGCTGGCCAGCTGGGAAGCACACACTCCTCCAGCTGCTAGGCTCCAGTGCTGGCATCCCAATTCCCAATGGGATCCAGCCCTAATGCATGTTCCCAACTTCTGGCCCATTTGCACAGCGAAGAGGAATTGGAAAGGGAAAAGCTCCTTTAGAGATCTCAAAACCATGTTGTAATACTTTGCTTCCAGCTCTGCTCCTCCTGCTCTGGTGGTATTCCAGAGGCGGCAGCATTCCAGGGATTTAGCACTTCTTGGAGCACAGACCTGCTTTCTGGTGCTGTTCTGCTTCTAGAATAGAGGGGGCTCTATCAACCCCCTTCACAACAAGTTCAAGCCCAGAGGGGAAAAGCTCCTGAGCATGGCAAAAGGGACTTAAACCGGGATCTTGTCTGGCCAGGCTTAAACATGGGAATCCGGCATTCCAGGCTTGGGATTTGCAGCCCTGCTCTGGCTCTTCATGCCCAGGGTGGGCTGTAGTGCATTAACAACCACGCCATATGGTGCTTAAGGGGGGTTTAATTCATCTCCTGCCCTGCTCCTCCTTAATCCTTGTTGGATGCTTGGAGTGTTGAACCCAAATCCCAGCTGCAGCTGGGAATTCTGCTGGCAATGGAGGGTTTGGGTTTCCAGGTGAGTGTTTGATGCTCAAAGGAGGTGGATGTTCCTTCTGGAGCATCCTTCCCAAGCCAGCTTCCAAAGGCCTAGCTAGGCTTCCCATGGGAAGCAGGGAATGGGGAGCCCTGGGAATGCCAGGACTTCAAATCAGGTCTGGTTCCCTGCAGCTGGGGTTAAGTCCCAGTTAACCAGAGCTGGGTTTAAGTCTTGCTAAACCAGAACTCATTTAAAGTCTTGCTTAACCAGAGCAGTGTTTAAGCCTCGCTTAACTAGAACTGATTTTAAGTTGTCCTTAACCAGACTGAAGTGTTTTAAGTCTCAGTTAACTAGAACTGATTTTAAGTCTTCCTTAACCAGACTGAAGTGTTTAAGTCTCAGTTAACCAGCGCTGTGCTTAAACCTCAGGTAACTGGAACTGATTTGAAGTGTCAGCTAACTGGAGATGGGTTTAAGTCTTTGTTAACCAGATCAGTGTTTAAGCCTTACCTAACCAGAGCTGGGTTTAAGTCTTGCTTAACCAGAGCAGTGTTGAAGTCTCAGTTAACCAGAGCTGTTTACGTCTTGCTTAACCAGAACTCACTTTAAGTCTTGCTTAACCAGAACAGTGTTGAAGTGTCACTTAACTAGAACTGATTTTAAGTCTTGCTTAAGCAGTGTTTAAGTCTTCCTTAACCAGAACAGTGTTTAAGTCTTACCTAAGCAGAGCTGGGTTTAAGTCTTGCTTAACCAGAACTCACTTTAAGTCTTCGTTAACCAGAGCCATGTTTAACCCTGAGCCAGGGCTCAGGTCCTGCCCCTTGCTCCCGGCCATTCCCAAACCCCTTCCTCCTTTTCCAACGCGGGCAGCTGGAATTCCACCCCCCGCCTTAGCCGTAGCTCCTCCACTTTTGTAATCTTGTCCTAACAAACCCGGGTTAGTGGGATTTGTACCTTTTTTATATACGCAGCTCTTGCCACGATGCTTAATGTCTGATGGGATGGAAATGGGGGGGATTTGCCGCTGTTACTCCCTTCTTCCATTAGGATGGGATCACTGGTGCTTCTGGAGCCTTCCAGAACCATCTGGAGCATCAAACGGCAACCCCGGACCCTGCTGTGAGACTCTGCCTCTGCCCAGAGGCTGGGAAAGGAGCAAATCCCGGTTCCTAGAGCATCCCATGGGATTCTCAGTGTTCAGGCAGTGACGGGGCGAATCGCTGCCACCACAGCGCCTTGTGTACGACTTTATGCAATAAACACCCGATTTGGGGTAACTGCGGCGGCTTCGTCTTCCTCAGGGGTGCAGCGCGGCCCATGGCTGCGTTGGGGAGGGCGGAGGCACCGCGACCTCCCCAAGATGGCGGCGACGCCGGTTCCGCCGCACGCCCTCCCCAAGATGGCGGCGCGGGCCGGACGCCATGCTTTGACCTCCCCAAGATGGCGGCGACGCCGGTTCCGCCGCACCCGTGTGGGGAGCGCTGCACGGGAAGCTGCGCCATCAGAGCTGGGCGAGAGCGCAGACATCTTGGGTGTCATCAGCTGCAAGCACGGGAGAAGCGCGCAAGGGAAGCCCAGAGGAACGGAAGAGAGAACACCGAGAGAGCTGCTGAGAAGTGCACCCACTGGGACAGGAAGGGGCTGAGGGAAGGAGGAGCTGTTGTAGCCCGGTACTGCCCGGGGTGCCGGTGCGAAGTTACCGAAGTTACCGTTGGAGAGCTCTTTCAGACGCGCTGTGCCGCGGAATAAAGCTCTTGGTGCGCCGGCAGCAGCGGGGCCCGGCAGCAGCTGCCACAGCCGGCGCCCGAGCAGGCACCCGGGAGGTAACCGCCAGCTCGAAGCGGAGCAGGAGGCTGCGGGCAGGGAGCGGGACCCCGGCGCTGCGCTCGATCCTCTCTGCAGGACAGAGGTGAGCGGCGGGAGAGATGGGTTCGGAAGCGTCTGGAGAGGAGGCGAACGTGTGCGGGGTGCTGGGAGCCGCGATGGCCGAGCTGCGCAGGTTGCCGAGCTGGGTCTCCCGGGAGGTCCCGGGCGTAGACGCCATGAACGTTTATGACCCTGCCAAGGGGGCTGTAGCAGGGGTTAAGCTCTCGGACCAGGCCACCCGGGGAGACTCCACAGCATCGAGCTTGCCGTCTCCTTGGCGCGCTGTGGTCGAGGTGATAAAGAAACACATCGACTCGATAGATCCAGCCAAGCCTTCCGGCTCCCCGGCACTCGGAGCGGCGGCACCGGAGGAGCCAAGCGGAGATAACCCCGCTGATCCCGGACCGATCAGCCCGGCCGCAGCGCCCGAGCTCTGCCCCCCGGACCCGGGTGATGTGTGGAGAAACGTGAGGGAAGGGGCGGAGCAGGAGGGCGATGTGGAGCTGCTCCTGAAGCTGAACGCTGCCTGTCCCATCCCGTACGAGGCGCGCCGCGGGCCGCGCTGGGGAGGGCTCAGTTTTACTCTGGTCACGGAGCTGCAGAAGGCGGTTTTAGATTTCGGCCTGGCAGCCCCGTATTCGAGGAAGCTCCTGCAGTCCGTTATGAGCAGTTATCCCTTATACCCGTGGGACTGTAAAGTGCTGGCAAAGTTAATTTTAACGCCCACCCAATATGTCTTTTGGTCCATGTTTTGGGAGGAAGCCGCCCAACAAATAGCCCTTCGTTATCTCGGACGTTGCCGTGGAGACCCGGTAGGAGCGTTGGGTGTAGACGCGCTCTTGGGAAAGGGTCGGTACGCTGCAGCCGCCGCTCAGGCTCAGCTGCCGGTCACCGCCTTGCACGATGCCAGGGAGGCCGCGCTCCAAGCGTTCCTGAAGATACCGGATCCCGGAAAGCCGCGCCGATCATTCAGCAGCCTCCGGCAAGGGCCCACGGAGCCCTTTGCGCAGTTTATCGATAAGCTCAAAGATATTCTGGATAAGCAAGTAGACAACGAAGAGGTGAAGGAGATTTTACTGAAAATATTCGCAGTGAAAAATGCAAATGACGACTGCAAAAACATCTTACGGCCACTGGACAATCCAACGGTGTTAGAAATGATCGAAGCCTGTAACAGCGTGGGAACGATCTCCCACCAGTGCTCACTGATAGCCTCTGTTGTGGCGGCTCTGAAAATCTCCCAACAAAGCTGTTTCTCCTGCGGACAACCCAGGCACGTGAAGTGCAGCTGCCCAGCTCGTCAGAGGGCGCAGGGCCCGGGGGCCTGTCCCAGGGGTCAGAAGGGGCATCATGGTGGCAGTCAGTGCCGGTCGCGCTTCGGGAAGGATGGCAGGCCGATGCCGGCAGACGGGAACCGGAGCGTGAAGCGGGATCGCGCGGTGGCACAAGCAGGCCCTGCGCCTCCCGGCACGGCCGGGCCCCTGCATCCAGCCTGGTCCCCAGAGCAGGCCCCAGCACGGCAGGGGGGCTGGCAACGTCAGCGTCAGTAACTTTGAGCGCAGCGGCGGTCCAGGCTGTTCCCACAGGAATGTGGGCGCCGCTAGGAAACAACAGAAGTGCCTTATTGATGGGACATTCTTCACATTCCACGCTAGGGCTTTTTGTAGTGCCTGGTTTAATCGATGCCGGCTTTAAACAAGAAGTCAAAATCAAAGTATGGACCCCAGTACCCCCTTGTTCTGTTCCAGCGAAGTCACGAATTGCACAATTGATCTGCGTTGAGGCGTGCCGGCCACAGAAAGAGGGACTCAAAGTTGGGGTCAGCAGGAGCCCCTCAGATATTACAAGCCCAAAAAATCTCTGGGTCTGGACCTCTGTTGAAATGCAAACTGGAAGCAGAAAACCCGGAACGATCTATCGTGTTATCAGGATTAACGGACACAGGAGCAGATGCGCCCGTTATCTCTGCAGCCTCATGGCCTCCCGGTTGGCAAGTAGAGCAAGTACCCACAGCAGTCACAGGCACAGGAGGCCACATTCTGCCCAGGTGAAGTCGTGACTTAGTTCACGTTACAGGCCCAGAAGGACACAGAGCTGGGGTGTGCCCTTTTGTTCTCCCGACCCCCATAGCACTTTGGGGATGAGACCTCCTGAGCATTGGCACCCATTTATCCTGAGGGCCCCTGATGAGCAGCGCACCCTAAACCTGACACTGCGGGGTGGGTGGCTCAGTGGCCCCTCTTGAAAAGCTGCACCAGTTACAGAAGTTGGTAGATGAACAGCTTCAGACAGTTGGCAAAAGTGCTGTTTGTACTAAATTTCTTAAACTTGTCTAGTTTTGATTCTCCTTCCGCAATACAGCGCTTGTGACATCTGATGGACGCTTCCTTGCCCAAACCACCAGTTCCATATAGAGACCTGCATGATGAGGAGTGGAAAGGACCAGTGCCATTGCTGACATGGGGTCAAGGGTACGGCTGCGTACAGCTGTCGACAGCACCGTACTCGCTGCCAGCGAAGCGTAGAAAGCCCAGAATTCAATGACATAAAGAAGTGACAATGACAGAAATCTTTGTAATATCTGTTCTATTATGTGTGACCATGGGTAATGGTCAAGTATACTGGGCACATTCACTAAATCCCCCATTATTCCAACCTGTTACATGGTGGGATGGGGAAACACCAATTTTAAATGAAGAAACAGCATGGCTTGGTGGAAAATGCATTCCACCCAGTCCTAGTGATGTCAGTGACAAGGTAATGTTGAAAAGTGCCACATTTTATACAGCTACTCCTCCAATTTGCATTAACAAATATAGAACAAATGGGACTCTCGAATGGTGTGTAGGATTCACTGGTATGCCACGTGTTACAGAGGTTCGAGTGACTTCAAATCAGACTAAATTTACTGAAATGGTAGTAGCATACCTGTTAAGCGAAGAGCTTCTGCATGGCTACCAGTGAATCTCACCCCAGAATGGGAAAGGGAATGTTCGATTGTTACAAACTGTCCTGGGTTCAGCAGTAGCAGTCATTTTTCCCCTTCCTGGTAGCTGGTGCAGTGCAGTGTTTTGACTCTCGGCCTGGGAACAGAGCTGATAGCGATGTTTTGGTTTGGCCAAGGACTTTGTGAGCCTCATGCTCTGCCAGGGAGGAGGGGAAGCCGTGAGGAAGCAGAGACAGGACACCTGACCCAAACTGACCAAAGAGGTATTCCATAGCACAGCACGTCATGCCCAGGATGTAACTGGGAGTTAGCCGGAAGGGCTGGGGGACTGCAGGGTTGCAGGAGGTATCGGTCGGTGCTTGGTTGGGCTGAGGGAGGGCAAGTTATCGGTCGGCTGGTGCTGAGGTGTTGTATTCTCTTCCCTTGTTATTTCCTTTATCATTATTATCACTGGTGGTAGCAGTAGTGATCTGTGTTATACCTTAGTTACTAAACTGTTCTTATCTCAACCCGTGGGAGTTGCATTCTTTTCGATTCTCCTCTCCGTCCCTCCGAGAGCAGGGGGAGGGAAAGAAAGGGGGAGAAGTGAGCGAACGAGTTACCTGACTGGGTTTAAACCAGGACAGTTCTTTTTGGCGCCCAACGTGGGGCTTGAAGGGTTGAGATAACAACAGATCTGACCAGATTAATAGTCACTCATCACAATGACGATTTATTGGCTCTCAGAGTTGTTTCTCTTGATCTCACAGCTTCAGAATGTTGTAACTTACGTAGAGCTGGTATTTGGTGTGTTAGTGTTTATCAAGTGTGGGGCCTGGGCTAAGGTTCTTGTCTCACTGTGCTTTATGTCAATGGCTTGTAATACGGGTGGGCTCCAGCAGCAGGGCGGGACGGACGTGGCCGTGGACTTGTACCTGGCCGTCCGGCTGCTCTTCACCGTCCTGGCCCTCGCCCTACTCTCCATCTTCGTGAGGCTGCGGGGAGCTGAGGGGGAGCGGCCCCGGGAGCCGGCGGCTGCTGAAGCGGCCCGGGAGAGCGGCCCCGGGGACCAGGCGGCGGCGGGAGCGGGGCCGGAGGCCGCGAGGGGACGGCTGCCGGTGGAGGAGGTCGGGGCGGTCGAGGAGAGGAAGGAGGCGGCTGCCGAGCAGACGGAGAAG